ATCATGCCCGATTTGACAGAAGCCTGAAAGTGAGTGCGCGAGGTGGTTATAAAAGGCTCCTACCCCCCAAGAACAAGGTATGCTAACTTTTGCGCTATCTGGCTTATCTTGCCTTTGAAAGACTCTAACTTGAGCTTCGGAGCCCTTACGCCGGATTCTCCCCGAAGCTTCTTCACTCCCTCCGTTTCAGGTCCCCTGCCACTCAGTTCAGAGGCAAGATCGTTGACAGCTAAGATCGGCCGGATTGTGCATCATCAGTTTCTAGAAAATAATTATCATGATAAATTTCTAAATATTTTGTTTTTCTTGTTCGATGAAAGAAATTTTGCAGGAACTAAGATAATGGCCCTATTTATTTACATATGTTTTTCTTCATATCAAAATGTGCACATAGTACCTTAATTTGGAATTTGTTGTTTACATTCATTTTAATAGTTTTTCATAGCTCTTCTTAGGTTATACATTGTTTTACTTGAGGTTTAAATATCAGCTGTACTAAATTCCTTGAGAAATGGAAAAATATCATGAAAATTCAGTTAGCATATTGACTTGGGAAAAATATGAATATGTTTAGGAAAGTTGGTGAGACATGAGAGAATAATTATAGGGAGGCTTCTTTTACAGTTCTAGGAATTTCTCAGAGAGGATCCCCTACTTCTTGTGTATCAGTGGTTGAAGTGATAAGTAGGATAGTATAGAGTAGAAGGATTGGCTATTATTAACTTCCAAGCAAGCTAGGAAGGACTGGTTGTTTTGTCATCGTTAGTTTGCTGGCCACTATAATTTTTGTTACTCATATCATGTGATTATCAGTGTTGCATGGGCTCTTCTAAATGGATGGCATGTTTGTATTGGACCTGCATCGGATTCTGTTACTCCAAAGATTGTTGAGGGATGCTTTTATGTAACATTTCCTTTTTGGACATGTGTTGCTTTTTTACTCCTGTATCCATGTCCATGCAACACCAAGACCGAGTTATCTGAATACCAACAAAGACTAGCTTGGAAATGGTTGTCTGATGCAGCTTATGATCCATAAAAGTCTGCAATAAATGGAAACTCAATTTCTGAAATCTCAGTCTATGAAAAGACAAAAATGTATGCAAGAAAAGGTTACTAAAGCATGGAAATCAGTAGGTCAAAGTTTCAAGGAAGGTCAAGCAGTCAAAAGCTTAATTATTAAAGGCTCTTGGAACTTTAAAGGTTCATTGGAAGGGTTTTTGGATGGATATGAGCTTTTTGTTGAAATGGGTTCTAAGAACTATGATGGTCTGGCAGATTCTTTAGCTAGAACATGGTTTACAAGTGACAATCTTGTATATGGTACACCAAGGCCGGGAGGAGATTTGTAAAGATCTTTTGTTGTAAATCTGGTGTGAGCAGCAAAACTAGCGCTTTATTGGCATCCTTTTGTATATGTTTATTTTAAATTTGATCCATTTGTAATGGGATCTAATAGGGATTGATCCCAAGCAATCAGTTATGATCTGATCTAACAATATTTAAGTATATATGCTTATATCTACACAAAATTAATATGTATCTGTTAGTAAAGTTTGTTTGAATGTTATATGTTTACTAAAGAGTCGTAGGTTCAGATGTTATAGAACCTATTTTTAAGTTACCTTATTCATGGTATAGAATATTGAAGTTAGTTTTAATTCATTTATTAAGTAATCTTGTTCACATTATAGAATATTGGGAGGTGGTGGAGTTCATGTGATTGATAGAGTTGCTGCAGCAGTTTAATCTGAATCCAGATGAGCAGGATATTATACTCTGGTCTCGAAGCCTCAGGAGGTGGTGGAGTTTCTACATTTTCTGGTATTTTTCTGTTTCTATTATACTCTGCAATTTTCTGGTATTTTTCTGTTTTTTTTCTGATATTTTTTTGCAATTTTCTGCATTTTTGTGAATTTTCTGCAATTTTCTGGTGTTTTCATCTATTTTCTTCAATTTTCTGGTATTTTCTGTTATTTTTGGGTATATGGGTGAACCCGACCTGCTTATACCACGTGGCAATCTCGGGAGAGTTGTTTCTCTAAAAAATTGTTATTTTTCGGGTATATGGACCGACGCGACCTGTTTCTGCCATGTGGCATCATTGAGAGGTGTTTCATCAAAAAGTGTTATTTTCGGGTACATGGGTCGACCCGATCCGTTTATACCACATGGCAGTCTTGGGAGAGTTGGTTCTCTCAAAAGTTGTTATTTAGGGCATACGGATCAACTCGACCCGTTTATGTAATTATATGCGATGGTAGGTGAGTTAGTATGGTTGAGGGTGGGCAAGRGTCATATGAATGGATCAAATGGGTCAATATGGGTGGGTTATGATCCTTTAACAAGCATTGATGATGGGTCATGGTGGGTTGGTGGGTCAAGATGAGTGGGTTGGTATTCAACCCTTACCCAACCCACCCATTTGCCACCCCTAGAAACAATGAAATCCACGCATATCCGTAGCGGGTCAATATGGGTTAACCCATTAGGATGGGCGGGTGGTTGTCAAGGTTTTGTGTGTGTCTAGGGTTCGAAATTTTCTCAAAGTCGCCGAGCAACGTTCTCTTCTTCCCTTCCGACTCGCCATTGAATCAACCTTCAGCATCATTGACGACCCTTCTCCCCTCCAAATCTCCTTTTGAACGAATCAAATTTGAATATCTCAACCAATATCATAAAGGTGGTAACCAATCAGGTGGTATTCATCAATATTCACAGGGTTGGGGTTGATTGATCAAAGATCATGTGTTTCCGGCATTGTAATTTACCCAGATATATTCCCGTATATATGATTTGATCCAACCCCCTCAATCCATCCACTTCACCCATTTAAAAAGAAGAGGAGGTGCGTGCAAGAATTGAAAGATGAAAGTAGAAGTGTAGAACCCCAAGTCCCAACAGCGTTTTATTGTGTACTTTGATTCATTGGAGGTGGGTTGTTTCTTTGTTCTAGTCATGCATAAAGACAGTTGAAAGAAACATGCCTAATTCCTGGTAACTCTCTTGCAGAATCTGTTGGTTCAGATTGAAGAATCATATGGAACGATGTTTTACTCAGAGTAACTATAATCCTGTACAGGTAGTTGTTCCTAACATTAAACAGCTTTTTTTCAAAACCTTTTTTTGTGTGTACATGACAATGACTACGTAATTAAGTAATTATGGATGCAATAATCCTTAAATGGACTTTATTCATAGGAGAAAATCTCCAAGAAACTGAAAATTTTCTTGGTCCGTGCTTTGAATCAAGCTCCATAAATGGATGATTGTTTCTCCATGGTTTTTATTTTTGATTTTTCCAAGAGTGTTGGTTCTCTAGGTTGTGCGTGATTAGTTTACCTCACTATTGTTGCTAAAATTTGTTATAAATCTGAAAGTTACGTCCTTTGTTGTTTCTCCCTTTTTCTGTGAGGAAGTCATAGTTGCTTGAATAAATCCGAAGTTGCATGATCCTTACCCAGTACCGCACGTTGAGTTTGTTTGTTTGTTTCCTGGTACGTCTATGCAATGGGATTATCAAAAAGAGGCAGATGAGTTTTGGATCAAAATAGAAGCATAAGGATGCATTTATGATCGCAGCTTTTTTAATTATTATTAGGGATTTGAGATATTGAACGAAGCATCTGCTCCATAGACAGACCTAGGGTTGCGTCTGACAATATGGTTGGCTTATGTTAGGTTATTTAGGTTCGAGAAAGCAGAAACAACCTGGGAAAGAATCCAAAAGAAGAGAAACAAAGCATCAGAAATTCAGAATAAGTTTAACTTAAACAACTTGGGAAAATAGCCTTGATTCTTTTTACAACTTTGAACCAACATAATGCTCAAAATTCAAAAATATACTTCCATGTCATTACTAGCCACCATATTTCCATATTACATTTACCTTGCTTATGTATCTATTAAAATTTGGTAGAAATTTGGCAGTGCCCTTTTACCGTATGCAAGAAGCAAGATCCACTACCCCCTGTTATCAACAGTTTGCCTCCTGTCTGGTAATACCACCAACAATCATTATTCTTTAGAGATGATTGGTTGACACAACAAAGACATAGTATGGTTGGTTGTTGATGGAAACACCTTGGGTTTCCATGGTATGGTTGACACAACAAAGACAAGAAAAGAGAGGAGCAAGGGATTTTGGTTGGTTGTTGATGGAAACCTTGGGTTTGATACAAGGAGAAAGGGGACAATCAATTGAGGAGGATTTGTCTTCTATTCGTGGCCTCCCTCTTGTTTTGTTTCTTGAGAAAAACCTGGTGATTGAATCTTAAGGAACAGCAGTGAACATTAAACAGGGCTGCTGTGTTTTGTGAACTTCAGTTAGTGGTCTACAGAGTTTTTTAACAGTTTAAGCAGTGAAGGCTTTTAGAGTTTTAATTGTATCTCCTAGTTTTCATGTGTCATGAAATTGTTAATTGATTCCTGACGATATCCACTTACTTCCCCTCCAAGAAAAAAAAATGTTGGAGTATCTTTCTGCTATACTATTTATTTCCCCATGTAGCGATACACCCTTTTGATGTGTATATATTTGTGTATAAATTGTCTCTGTATTCTGTTTTTTTTTTTTTCATGTTGCTTTTTTATAGGGTATTCACTGTATCAATTATTGATTTCAAACTCTTTTATTTTATTTTTTTTTTTTTGGGATAACATCACACAGATGTCTCCAAATGAATGTGCGATACATTATTTATATGTATGTGCACAGGTATGTATTTGTATATGTAATTTGGGAAAATGATAGACAAATTTAATAATGGGATAAAGAACATGTAATTATTCCTATTGTAATGGGATAAGGAACATGTTTTCTTTCTTTCTTTTTTCCTTTTCTTGAGGTTCTTTGTTGCTCTTGGAAGATAAGTGTGTTTGTCTTCCTATTGTAATTATTCTATTGATGAGTTAATGAAAGTGTTATTGATCAAAAAAAAAAAAAGATAAAGAACATGTAAAAGGAAAATATACATTCATCCATGAAGTCATATCTTGAATATTTTTTTTTTTTTTGAAACATGTAAAGTGAGAATTTCATTAAGACAAAACATGTACAACAAGGAGCTGTACACAAGGATTTACAAAAACTGCACCAGCAGAGCTAGACGCCCAAACCCTGATTTACAAAAAGATTCCCAACCACAAAAAAGGAATTAAAATTTCTGTCCTTGAAAACATTGTTTACTGCTAACCAGGAAAACATTTTTCCCATAACTTTCTGAAATACTGTATCTGAGGAGCTGTGTTGGTTCTTGAAAATCCTTGTGTTCCTCTCCTGTCATATGCACCAGAAAACCACAGCACGAGTCAGATTCCAAGCCAATTTGCCCTCTTTAGTTAGACCTTTGACTCTCCAACTCTTCACAAAATCTGCCACTGGTTCAGGGCAGCAACTGTTCACCGCATATAAATTCTTTACTTTGTTCCAGACCTTACAGGAGAAAACACAGTGGAGTGACAGGTGGTTTACTGACTCTGTCTGATTCTGACAAAGCACACAGACAGTTGTGTTTAATAGCATACCCTTCTTCTCCAGATTGTCCCTAGTTAAAATCCTGTTCAAGTAGGCTGTCCATACAAAAAATGCCACCTTTGTGGGCACACACCCTTACACCATACAGACTTAACTGGGATTGGCTCATCCTCTGGTCTGGAAAAATAGTTGTAAAAGGACCTAACTGAGAATTCCCCTGACTTCTCCCACTCCCAAACTCTTTTATCCTCTCTCCCTAATTCCACTGGGATGCTATACAACAAATGCAGCAATTCCACCAGAGACTCCACTTCACAATCATTCAGATTTCGCCTGAACATAGGA